GGTGCGCGGGGCGCGCAGGCAACCGCGGGCTGATCGCCAGCGAGCTGGCTGCCGGAGCGCACAGGGAATAGGCGCGGTGGGTCGCTCAGTCGCGCGCATTTACGTGCGGAGAAACCAGTGAGAAGGGAAACCCTCGCAGTGCAGCAGGCTCGCAAAATTAGGATCGGATAAGCAAGCCCGAGGCGTTTGAGTGACTGGATGCGCTGGGCTAGCGGAGAGGAACGCCATCGCTCCCTCTCTGACCCCGCCCCCACACACAGCGTCACAAACCAGCGACCTGGGTCGCCCGTCCTGGTAAACAACTAAGGCTTCGCTCCGCTCACTAAACAGCACGAATAAACCAAAAATGGCTCTAGAACAACTCAGAGCCCCAGAACCGATAGACCTAAGTGATGAAGAAATAGCCAGTCTTTCAGATGCACAGTTCAAAACACTGGTTATAAGGATCCTTACAGAACTGGTGGATTTTAGTCACAAATTAGAGAAACATATGGAAGCTAAATTAATTGAAATGAATGCTGATACAAAAGATACCAATAGTGATGGAAAGAAAATTGGGACTCAAATCAAGGGAGAGGACCAGACAGAAGAAAAAGATGATCAAGCAGAAAGGAATGAAGAAATAAGAATTCAGAAAAATGAGGAGAGGCTTGGGAACCTCCAGGACATCTTTAAACGTTCCAACATCCGAATTATAGGGGTACCAGAAGGGGGAAAGGCACAACCACCAGTTGAAAAATTATTTGAACAAATAATAAAGGAGAATTTCCCCAAGATGGCAAAGGAAATAGACTTCCAAGAGATCCAGGAAGCTCGGAGAGTCCCGAGGAAGTTGGACCCGGGAAGGAACACACCAAGGCACATCATAATTACATTAGCCAAGATTAAAATGAAGGAGAGAATCCTAGAAGCAGCAAGAGCTAAGGGGACAGTCACTTACAAAGGAGTTCCCATCAGACTGTCAGCTGATTTCTCAAAAGAGACCTTACAGGCAAGAAGGGGCTGGACAGAGGTATTCCAAGTCATGAAAACCAAAGATCTACAACCAAGATTGCTCTACCCAGCAAAACTTTCATTTAGAATGGAAGGACAGATAAAGTGCTTCTCAGATAAGGTCAAATTCAAGGAGTTCATCATCACCAAACCCTTACTATATGAAATGTTAAAGGGACTTACCTAAGAAAAAGAAGATAAAAAAGATGAACAGTGAAAGGACAGCAAACTCACAGTTATTAAGAACCACACCTAAAACAAAAGCAAACTAAGAGGACAGCTAGATCAGGAGCAGAACCATAGAAATGAAGATCACAGGGAGGGTTAGCAACAGGGGAGTGGGAGGAGGGGAAGGGGGGAGAAGGTACAGAAAATAAGTAGTATAGACAGTAGATAGAAAATAGATAGGGGGGAGGGTAAGAATAGTAGGGGAAATACAGAATCTAAAGAATTTGAGACACATGTTCATGAACTAAAGGGGGAAATGGTGGGGGAGGGGTATGCAGGGTGGAGGGGAAGGGAGGGGGGAATAGAGCAAATGTAATGGCATAATCAATAAAAAATAAATAAAAAAAATAGTAAAAAAAAAAATACTCGTCACAGATTTCACTGTCTTGGAAGGGGGAGGTGCTAGAGGGCGGGGAAGGTAGCGGCAGGGGCGCTGTCGCAGTGCAGGCAGCCGACCTTCAAAGGCCCGGCTCCACGAGGTCCGGGAAGGCCCAGTCTGTGCTGGTGTGGAAGACTCAACTGCCATCGCCTTGCACGGCTCCGTTTGTTCTCTGTGATTTTCATGTACTTGCATTGATATAGTGGACATTTATTCACAAATCATACAGAGACAACAGATGAACACTTTGTAGAGAAATGGCTGATTCCAGGTTTGGGACAGAAATGTACAGGATGAGCTTGGAACATTTTGTCTTACCAGAAAATAAAAAAGCCATCAAAGTCTATTAATAGAATTGTTTCAAAAGGATTTAAGAACTTCCACTGGCCAAACAGGAGGCAATTGGATAGGAATAATAATTGCAATAGATTGAAACATCGAATATGTTAAATCTACAAATCATAAAGATACTTTTGAAGGATGATAAAGAACCAATTCATCATTTTGAAAACTAGTAAATAAGCAAATCAAGCAGTTATCCTGCCTTTCTTATATGAACTGTACCTTATGGTAGCCAAATAGTTGGCAAGAAGTTGCACTTTATAGAACTATTCCAGCCAATAAATGAAAAAGGAACAACGTAATTAGAATGGTACCACTCCGCAATCTCTAGTGAATTACTGGACCTAGGACATGATCATCAATGGCTGCCAACATCACAAAAGGCCTCCTGATAGAAGTGCACCTCATCGCAAGAGGTGTGCTTCCCAAATGTCCAGTTGTATTTAAGACTCTACATCTAACTACCAATTCACACAACATCCTGGGGACAGAAGAACATATTAAATGACACCACATGAATGCCACCAACAAAGTTCAGGATGTTGGAAACCCATCAGGACAAAATCCATCAGGTTTCCCCACCTCCCCCGACGCTTCGCAAGAAATAAATTGTAAAGAAAAAAGATGGAGGAGTAAAACCTAGAGAAAAAGACACTTAAGAGATATATCAACTAATAACAATGTATGGACTAATTAGAATCCTGATTTGAACAAATAAAACATTAAGCAATTATGAGACAACTGGTGAAGCTGGAACACTGACTGGGTATTAGGTATTAAGCAATTATTGTTACATTATTTTTGGCATGATAATGGCATTGTAGTTATGTTCAGAAGGAGTCTCTTTGATATATACTGAAATTCGACCACATAAAAAAATAAGATTGCTGAGATTTGCCTAAAAATGATTTGGGGAGGGGGGGTAACAGGCGGACTATACAGATAACGCCCGGTCCCAAGGTCGGTCATTAAAGCTGGGTGATGGTTACATTGCTGCCTCTACTGTTTATGTAGGCTTGAAGTTTTCCATAATAAAACCTCTTTAAAAGTCTCTCTTTAAAAGACTCCAGGATGCCTATTTAGCAATTACTCCACTGTTTTCCTCAAGTTCACCTTTAGAGTATTACTTACAGGTTTGTAGGAGTTAATTCAGCTTTTATGTAGAAGTATAGATACATATATTTTGTAGTAATTATTCAAACCAGAAAAGGTAAATAAAGATGAATAACCTTGCCCTCACCAATTTCTGACTCAGACCAATAGCTTAACTATACAATGCACTCAGATGAAAATAAAGCTATGTTTTTCATTTGCATTTTCACGATGGACAAACTTCAATGTATACTTAATTATTTCCACATTGCAGACTCAAGAATATTTAAATGAAATTAGGCACCCATATAGAGTCAGTATTTTAAAAGGAAAACTGAAGCTAAACAATCCCTGATTATGATGCTATAAACTTGACACTCTTATGAGAAAAACTAGTAAAATCTTAACCTCAATTTTCAATAGTGAAACTAAATAAGAAACAGATAAAATGATGTATTGTGAAATGCAGTTAACCTGCAGTACGCAACAGGGACTTAAAATAATTGAGAATGATCTTGGAACTCATGCAGATAATTTAATTAAAATTTTAATCTACCTATTTCAGTTTCAATATGAGAAAATCAACTCCACAGTGGTTACGGGGTTTGTCCAGAACCACAACCTGAGGACTGAAACCAGCCTACTTGATGACTAGTCCTGAGCAGTTAATAAATACACAGAGGGTCTTTTTAAAAAAGAGAGGCAGGGCTGGTGTCTTTCATTAGAAGAACCGATTAGCTGGTCATCCAAGTCCTGGTGGTCAGGACTCGGACCCTCCACCACCTCTTCTACTTGAAGTGGCTCAGAGAACTGAGAAAGCTAGACTCAGTCACACGTTCCTCCTTTCTGTGACCCTCCCCTAAGACTAGCCGGGTGGCTGCTGAATAGCTCAAGTGTTTTTGATGATTTGTATTAAATGAATCAATGTTTGTGGAAGGCTTAGACCGGTGCCTGGCTCAAAGTAAGAGCTTGTATTTATTTAGAAAAAAAAGATAAGTATGTTTACACTTGTCTCACAGAGATATCTGAGAATAATCGGAAAACTCAGTAGTTCATTACTCATGGCACTTTTGTTTGTTATGCAGAAACTTCTCAGGAACTCTTTGTTATTTAAAATTGTTTTTCTCTTCTATAAAACTGAATTCCTAAGAAAGAATCTTCATCTTCTAAAGGGATTAAGACAGAACCAATTTCCCTTTGAAACTGTACTAAACTTTGTATACATACATATTATTTATTTATTTTTCTCTTCTTTTTGTACTAAACCTTTTAAAAAGGATGACAATGTCATAACCATGTACTGAAAGCCCAAATTAGACCCATTTGAAAAAATAAACACCAACTCTTACCTTTCCGAGGTTCTCCTGCTCGGCAATATTTTTGGTGTACTGTTCCCTAGAGAGCCAGCATAGTGATTAAGTCTCAATTTACAGCAATAATTTTATCACACAACTGAATTATAAATTAACATACCTATCAAATGTATTAAACAGAACATTTAGAGCACTGGAATTAGGAGGAAACCCATTATCAAATACTCTCTTTGCTCATTCTTAGTTCTTAGAAGTAAGTTAGAGTAAGTAGTAATTTAACGGAAAAAAGACAAAACATCACATGCAAAATTAAGGGAATTAAAATGTTAAGTACTATTTCTGGTTGATCTATCCCTAAAACAGTGGCAACTCATTTACTTAAATTACTTTGTTTTTGAGGAGGTTTGCAAAAGGGAGAAACATTAGAAAAAAAAAGCCAAAAACCACTAGATAGCATCTAACATGGAATTCCACTTCTAGGAAGTGATTCTACAGAAAAACTCGTACCTTAATAAAGATACAAACAAAAACATTTGCTTCACCATTGCTTATAACAAAGTAAAGTTAATAGATGGGAAAATATTTAAATAAATTATAGTACTCCATTTAAAGGAATAACATAAAGTTGTAAATAAGAATGAGGTAGATCTATAAATACTAAGGTGGAAAGCATTCTAGATAAACTATGAAGAGAAAAACTGTATCATTTAATTTTATTTTTGTATACACAAAAAGATTTCCATGTATTTGCTAACACACATACACACACACACACACACACACACACACATTAGCAAATGCATGGGAAAGGAATATGGAATAATGTACACCAATATATTAACATTAGGCATTTCTGAGGCATAGCAATGTGGACCACTTTTTGTGTACTACTAAATTTCATAACGGTTAGTTTTTGGTTTTATAAATATTTCTTTTGTAATTTCAAAAAAGGGTAAGATTTTAATGTAAAGATAAAACTATGAATAACTTAGAGTTATAGTTTTAAACAAAAGTATAATTATATTTTAATACTGCCTTAGAGAAAAAGTGAGATTTATTTATTTATTTTTAATCGTCATCTGAGGACATGTCTATTGATTTTTAGAGTGAGAAGGAGGGGGAGGGGAAGGGAGAGAGAAACACTGATCGGCTGCCTTCCACAGTACTCGCCCCGACTGGGGAAGGGGCCCACAATCTTTCGCTGTATAGGATGACACCCCGCCAGGAACAGCAAATGAGATTTAAAGTGTTAAAGACAAAAACTGAAGGATGGAGAGAGACTTAAGACCACAAATCTGGATGGAAAAAGACCATGTTTCTGTGCAAACTACACTACACTACTTAAGAAGAAATTAACACAAAATTGAGAATCTAGGAAATCACGGGCTACAAAGAGCAACCCTAGAAGTCTAAGTGAAGGAAGATTCCGATTTATGCAAAAACGAAGGTCATGCTATGATTAGGATAGAGAAAATGTCAATCAAAAGTACCCCGAATGCTTACAGAGGTGAAGGAAGCATTTGTGCACAGGAGTGAAGGAATGGACCCAATCTGATGAGCCTTCATTTTGCCCTTAGAATTTATGAGACACTACATCACACTGTCCGCCTTTCCAGCTCTCCAATGAACAACAGCTAAGAGGATGTAAATGTCACACTGACTTAAGAAAAATGTATGGCTGTAGTTCAGATAACTTTTTTTTTAATTTTTAAAAATATTTTATTTATTTATCTTTAGAGGAGAAGGGAAGGAGAGAAATATCAATGTATGGTTGCCTCTCGGGTGTCCCATGCTGAGAACTGGCCTGCAACCCAGGCATGTGCCGTGACTGGGAATTGAACCGCAATACTTTGGTTCACAGGCCCGCACTCAATCCACTGAGCTACACCAGCCAGGGCTCAGATAACTTTAAATAATTTGTTTATTATCCTAGGCCTGAAAAATGTCCAATTGTTTTAAAACTTCCATTTATATTTTAGATTTGAGAAACCAACAGGCTCATACTCTTTCCCTATAACACTAACACATATTTTTAATCCATTCCAGAAACAATTACGGAGCACTTGTCATGCCCTGGGGTTTCAGAAGTAAACAGGACAGACAGCGGTCATCATGCTCCAGGAACTCACAGAATTTCCCAAACCCCGCTGCGCACATCGTGTCTCACTTCATCTTCTGTGGTTCATACTGTTTACCTGACTTTACAATGAGGAAGTGATCTGCTCAAGGTCACAAAACGAGAAACAAATCAAGTTCAAAACATACTGCACAGTCCCTCTCTAGTACTTTGAAATAAAACATGCTGCCTTTTCAAATAAAATTCAAATTTGCAAATCACCTTTCAAACCCAAGCTGACTTCTTAGACTTTTGGCCTTACCAGAAAGTACCACAAAAGTAGAAAATGGAATAACAAATACTGTGTCTATATCAGTAATCACACTTGAAGCATGTATCAGTGAGTTGAGAATGCAGCTAAGCCCATTACACCCGTAACACACTTATCGTGCACCAGTCTAGTCAGGGCCCGACAGCTTCCTATAGGGAAGCTAAGCAGTGATGAAGGGTTATGATAATTGTCAAAATGATGAAGAAGAATATGGGGTTAGAAAACTCAGAAAACCAGCAGTTCAGGAGGAACAGTTCCTTCTTTGCTTTCGAAGAAATGAAACTTATATTAAAAACTTATTAATAACTTTTGAAGAAATGGAACTTAAATTAAAAACTTTTTTTCAAGAACAAAATGAACTTCTCACAGTTGTGAAATATTAGCATTGACCAAATAATTTATTTGAGTTAAGTTTACATTCGATGAAAGAATCTGAATAAGTGCATTTAATATGTTTACTATGTTAAATAAAGTATTAGAAAAAATATTCTATTTATAGGATATCTTCAGTCTGGTTTGCATTCCAGTGCATTATGTATAAAAAAATGTAGACTCTGCCAAGACATTCTGTGTCTTAGATTCCTTTTTGTAACATTGAAGTTTATGCTACTAAAATCTCAACTGCAATCTAGAACAAACGTGAATCCTACACTTTGAGTTCTTACTGGGTAATAAAAGCAAAACATCTGAAGTGTGCTAAGGGGCAAAGAAAAGTGTATCTTGTACAATTACTGGATTTTTATCACAGATAGCAATACAACTATACATGTATTTTTAAGGCAATGCTTGATTTATTACTGTATGCTGCAAACTGTGATTACAAAAACTCTCCACAGGAGGGGGAGGGGGATGTACAGGCAGACCCTACCCCTTTGGACGGCTGGTGTGCTGCAGTCCCACAGTTTCCAGCTGAAACGCAGCCACCGGCACGGCACTGTTAGCAGGCAGGTGACTACAGTCCAAGCCACATGGGACTTTAAAAATAGACAAACCTTAGTACTTACTGAAAACCAACTAGCAAATTATGTGTATTCCTGGGTAAGAGAAAATGGGGAATTATTAATGATTATAAGAGTTTCTGTCTGGGACAATGAAAAGTTTTGGTAACATACTTGTGATGGATGCACAACGATATGTAACAATGCAACTGAACTGCACGCCCCAGCTGGTTTAAATGGCAAATCTTATGGGATATATATCTTTTGTGACAATAAAGACACTAAGCAAGTAAGAGAGAAAACTATACGTATTCCTGCTTATTTAGAGGGGCTAGACTATCCCGAAGATGTTTAACAAGACTTACACCTAAATAATATCTTAGTACCTGCTTATTTAAGGACTGTAAATGTTATAGTTTCATTTTATTTATAAAACTTGTATAGGTGAAACCATTAGGTAACACAATATAAAAACAACAAAATTACTTGCCTAATTGCCCTTCTCTTTCCTTGTTGGTCGGAAGAGACATACGCCTTCATCTCCTCAGTAGCCCGGCAGAGCTGTACCTCCAGGTTCTGGGTGGAAAGACTGAGTTTTAGGTGCAGTCCTCAAACAGGAAAACCTCAGCAAAGTTTCCGATTCACCTTCTTTGTCTTACCTTGATCATACAGTTTGTATAATGGTATTTACTTTCTTCTTGAAGGCACTCTTCACGGAGGCCTCTGACTTCCTGCAACATAAAGTTCTAAATGAGCGACGTTGAGAACACAGTGGATGCAGAGAGGACGACTGCATGCACAGGAGAAGCCGTGCTGTCGGTCGTTTCCTCTGCGGTGGCTGTAACTTTGTTTACTGTACCAGCCTGGGCAGCAACCTTTTCAGGGGTGGCTCACATCACTCGGAAACCACCCGCACAGTTGTTCATTCACTAAGTACCCAGGCTGTGTCCAGCTCCCTGTTAAGTGCCGGGACACAGAAGTGAACAGGACAAGTCCCTGCTCTCACTCGAGAGGGGAAACAGACATCACAAGGAAAGACAGAAGGAAGGTCACTTTGGAAGGGGGTAAGCACTATGAAGGAAATTCAGCAGTAGAATGTGATGGCGTGACTGGGTAGGCAATGTCAGACAGGGTGACCAGAGATCTCTAGGAAGAGGTGACATTTAGGCTGAGACCTGAAAGATGAAAAGGAGAGATCAAAGCAGAGCGGTGGGGACAGGGTGTCTGGAGAGGGAAGAGCACATGCACAAGCCCAGAGGCGGAAACAGGGCTGGCCTGTCTGCAGTACAATAAGACGGCCAGGATGGCTGCAGCCCATGGATGAGGAGCAGAGCACACAGATATGATGAAGTCCATGAGGACGCGGGGCCTTGCGGACCACAGTCTGGAAGTTACAAAGTCTAAGTGTTACAGGAAGGCACCAGAGGGTGGCCCAAGTTTTACTCAGTTTCTTTGGCTGCTCTTTGGAGAATGAACTGTAGGGAGGTAAGAGTGGAAGCGGGAGAGCAGGTGGTACGGTACTGTGGGGGCCTAAGAAGGCAGGCAGCGGCCTGGACTTGGTGGTAGAGGTACAGGCGGGGAATTCAGGGTGCACATACCGCGCCTGAACAAATAAAGATCTCTGTAACTTAGGAGATAGACTCGGGGAGGAGGGAAAAGACTGAGGAATCTTTTGACACTGGTGCAGAGAAAATATGTGTACACAGGCAGTTTTTCCTAAATTTTTAAAGTAAAAACTGTCTTCTTACCTGTTCTAATTTGGACCGATTGCTTTCGAGGCCGGCTGCACAGCTATCATACTGGGATTTCTTTTCATCACACTCCTGGGTTAGCTCCTAGTGTAAAAAGGGTAAATGACTGAATAAGTGAAAAACAAAGGCCTAAAATGTGGCTCTGACACAATGCATGCCCTTGTTAGTCTTGTAACTTAACACTAAGCTTCTTGGCGTACTTAAGAGTTATTTATACAACAATCAGACATTTGAGAATTATGACAGATGAAGGTGCTGATAAAAACAATAGCCACCATGTACTGAGCTGTGTGCCAGGCTGTTTGTTAGGAGCTGGGATACAACAGTGAACAAAACAGCCAAAAACGCTTCCCCTCAAGTAATGCTCTGACAAGTAAACAGGCTGCTGAGTGCTATGATGGGTAAATGGGACTCTCGCTGGACCTAGCCCAGGCTCAGGGATCAGTGGGGCAACTTCCTGGAGCACGATATCTAAGCTGAGGTATGCGGATTAGTAAGAATAGTCTGGGGGAAGGTGAACGGGGAGGAGAATGTTCAGGAAAAAGGGAACGCTATGTATAAAGGCTTGGAAGCTAAAGAGGAGAACAATTTAGGCTGTACAAGGCATTCATTACACTGGCTTGTGTCTGGGAGGTGTGAGAAGAGGCTGAAGACTCTGAAGGCCTCATCGGAACTCTGTAAGCCATGTGAGGGTGTGTGAGCTCGACCCTGGACAACTGCTAAATCTCACAACTTCTGCGGGCATGGGTCTCCCCACATCATGCCTGAGGGAAGTTCGGGGAGACTGAGCACCTTACCAAAGATGAGACTGCTGGGAAGGTGTCAGAATTCGAGCTCAGGCTGTTTGAGTAGTTTCAAACTTTCTTCCAATGAAACACTTTGGCCTATGAATGCTAAAAGTATCTACAAACGCATGGTGAGGTGGAGTAAACGCCCTTTCCAACCAGAGCTGAGCTCTCAAGGAAGAGGAACTAGCAGGGCCAGGAACACAAGATGACCCCCTGCGGCCATACTCCCCTTGGTGAAGGGAGGCCGAGACTGTCAATCTTGGTGACAAGAGTCATTACATGTCCAAGCAGGGCAGAACACAAGGCCGAGGCCTGTGCAGAGTGGGATGTTAGAACTCTGAACCCACGGTAAGTCCAAACTGGTTTTCAACCCAAGAACCGCGAGTAAAGCGTTAACCAAGGTCATTCTGAGGTTAGCCTGCATCAGTCCAGGCCTGGGTTTAACTGAAGACAAAGATAAAAATATTAAAACCAACTATAGGGAAGACATTACATAAAAAGAAATGATAACTAAACTGATGGTAGACCCTTCAACACAACAAAAGAAATTGGAAAGCAATAAAAATAACTTTTTTCCTGACCAAGCCATTACTTAAGAAGAAGAAAAAAGATGATTTACTTATAGTAATGATTCTTTGTTGAAAGAACCACTGAAAGAAAACAAAACAAGGACATTTAATTTCAGGAAGAAGAAAACTGAATCCAGAAGAAAGGATTAAAATACAAGGAGCAATGGTGAAAACTGCCAAGTATGTGGGTAAATCTAAGCAGGAAATGATGTATGAAGTGGTAATTATAACGGTACTGACCGCCATGACCACCACTTTAAGAGGTGAAGAAATAAAGTGGAAATAAAGTACCAGAGGACAGCAACACACATGTAGCAGAAGGGGGCATTAAATTATCCTAAAGTCCCCATGTTGCTTGAGAGATGCTGATTAACTTTAGACTTTAAGCTGGGCAAACAGATGTTAAAAACTTAAGAGGAAACTGTATTAGATGAAGACAGAAAAGGAAATAAGGGAAAAGAAGACAAAAGAGAATAGGATTTGTGCAATGGAGGGTAGGAAAGAAGAAAAGAAAAAGTGCAGTAAATATGATGTACAAAATAGACATCAATCCCAATGTATCAATAATAAGAGTAAAAGTAAAAGGGACTAAAGCCACCAATTAAAAGACAGATGCTCAAACTGGATGTAAGAAAATATACCCACCCCAAATCCAGCTGTGTGTTATTTTATGAGACACAGAGAAAAATGAAGATACAGGAAGCTGAAAGTAAACAGAAGTAAAAACATACCAAGCAATACTAATCATAAGAAAGCTGGCATATTTATATGAATAGCAGACAAAATAAGACTCCTAGACCAGCCCTGGCTGGCATAGCTCAGTGGATTGAGCGTGGGCTGCGAACCAAAGGGTTGCAGGTTCAATTCCCAAGTCAGGCACATGCCTGGGTTGCGGGCCACGTCCCCAGTGGGGGCCACATGAGAGGCAACCACACATTGATGTTTCTCTCTCTCTCTTTCTCCTTCCCTTCCCCTCTCTAAAAATAAATAAATAAAAATCTTAAAAAAAAAAAAAAAAAAAGACTCCTAAACCAAAAGTATTACCAGCAATAAAGAGAGTCAAAAATAATGATAAAACAAATCATTTTCATCAGGAAGTTTTTTTAACCTTGAATCTTTTAAAAATTATGGTAAAATACACATCAAATCTACCATCATAACTACGTTTAGGTGTACAGTTCAGCAGGTGAAGTACACTCACACTCACCACCCCCCGGAACCCTTCTCATCATGCAAAACTGAAGTCTGCACCCACTAAACAATAACGCACCGCCCGCCCCGCAGTCTGGACGCCTCCAGGAAGCCTGATCTGACGTACACGTGGAGAACCCAGCACTCAACCACTGAAAACTACGTTCTTTTCAAGACCAAGTCACTGAAAAATCAGGTTGGCTTCAGATCACTCCACGACACACTTAACTCTGGAAGACTGTGGAGCTCTACTTTAAAAATCCTTAAGGAATGAAAGCGTGATGTAAGAAGTTTATGCTCAGTCAAGCTGTCGCTGAAATATTTAAGGCAACAAACTCTAGAACATGCAAGAACACATCAGGGGATACTGTGCTTCTGGGCCTTTCCTGAGGATTCTACCAGAGGAGCTATTTTTAACCAGTGTGCTGCAAGAACTTTTAAAGCATGCAATACCTAACTACTTAGTCAGGAGCACTGCCCTCTTTTGCTTTAGATTTTCAAGTAAAAAATGACAACAGCCAACACAATGATAGCTATCTGGTGTGAATAAGTCAAAATAATACTTTTTTTTGGTCAGATCAGCAAAAAATATATTTTTTTGGTATGCTGCAGAATTTTATTTTTTATTTTTTTAATCCTCACCAAAGGGTATGATGTTTACTAGTTTTAGAGAGAGAGAAGGTGGAGGGAAGACAGAGAGAGAGGGAGAGAGAGAAAGAAACATCAATGTGAGAGAGAAACATCAGTCAGTTGCTTCCCGTAAGCGCTCCAACCAGGGACTGAACATGCAATCTGGTTATGTGCCCTGACCGAGAATCAAAGCACAATCTTCTGGGATATGGGACCATGCTCCAACCAGCTGAGCCGCCCGGCCAGGGCCTAGCAGTTTATCTTTAAAGAAATGGTTAGAATTAGCTTCCAAGTAATGGCATTTCACCACTTACAAGCTGTCACAGTTTGCCCCCCAGCAAAGCAAGTTCAATTAATCTAAAGTTAACTGGTCACCAGCCACTGGCAGACTTGGAGATTTACCTGGCCACAGAAGAACGTAACCTCAGAGTTATGGCTCTGGCATGATTTAAAGCAAAAAGGTCATCTGGCTGCATTTGTGATTTCTGCTTAAACTCCTCCTCCTCCCCTTGCCCAGTAATTTATGGCAAAATAAGTAGCATAAATCAAAGAGAAATCTTTACAGGTAACATTATTATTCTTTTTTGCAGAATCATGTCAATACAGTACATCTCAACAACATAAAATACTAAAAGTGTCACAATATCAAATTTACTTACTTGACATTTTTGACGCAATTGTCGTAGTTCTTTTATGATTGGGGCTAGAGCTGATTTCTTTTCAGATACCAGTGAATTCAGTTTTTTTACCTGTCATTTAAAAAAGTATACAACATCTAAAAAAAGAATTCAAAAGAATAAAAATATGTGCATAAAGATATTTATTGAAATGTTATATGAGTTTAAAAAACTATAAATACTTCAATGCCAAACAATGGGGAAGTGATTTAGTAATCTTGATTCTTCAGTAAGATGAAATGCCAATGAACTATTCAAAATGTCAATTATTAAGACTGCACGCCAATATAAGAAAATATTTATAATCTAATGCTGAATGACTAAGAAAAACTTAAAGTTGCCTTTATACAACTATAATCACGTATGCAAAACAATATGTGATTGTGTGGTTATATAAATAAAATACATAGAAACATGGATGAAGCGGAAAGTAATGACCAATCACATTGGGCACCAGCCACCGAGATGAACACGTCCTCGCAGGCCCCTACTGCGCTCAGTGTTCATCTTTTTAGGCGTCAGACTGCGGTGAGATGCAGGGGGTTCTGGGCGAGTGGCCACTGTGGACAAAACAGGTGGAGCTGGGTCCTCTGAGAGTCTGGGGCAGCAGCTATTTACCCGTAAGGACGGAAAGGTTTCAACATTTTAATGCCTGACGAAGCTGTATCAGTGCATTCTGGCTAAACGGCAGCCCTGAATAAGGGACGATACTAAGGACATACACAAAAGCGAAATAACTTTGTAAGGGCGGTATGATTTGGGAAAACTTATTTTTTATCTTAAATATTTCCTTAATGTTGTATAACTTAACACACTTCCAAAACCACAAAATACATCAACAATTATAAGTTGAACAATCTTACTAAAATGCAAAAATTCAAAAAGCGATTGCTAGAGACAGATGAAAAAAATAAACATATGCAGAAATGAAAATTTAAATGTTTCACTGAAAACAGAACAAAAATATCTGCCTTCTAGCTACACAATAAAAAAACACTAAAAATACGTGTCCTCACCATTCCAGACATGTCGTCCAGTGTCCGTCCTTTCATTTCGTCAACTTCACTCTTCAGTGCAGATACTCTTTCTAGCTCTTCCTGGGTGTAGCTATATCCAGATATACCCCTTTTCTCCTCGGTATTTTGCTAAAAGTAAAGAATAAGAATAGGTGTCACAAATGAAGGTAAGGTGGTGGGCACAAGACCATGGGATTCAGTCCCTGTACCACATGCCACACCACCGGGAAAGCCAATGGCCTGATACAAGAGAGGAAGGACCTCGTGAAGGTACAGCTGAGTTGCCAGCTTAGAACTGGTGGCCTTCGAGGATGAGTTCCAGTCTTCAGGATGGAGTGGACAATCTTAAACCAGTTTTCAGTCTATGGTGCTGTGTTCCAAACAGACTGAATTAATGGGTCTTGAAACCATGAGAAGAAAAACAGGAGTGTTACCACTCACGACATTTCCCACTTATCCACTTAGGGAATCACACTTCCCTTCTCTGTGGTGAGGATGTTCTAGTTTCCAGGGTGAGCATGCTTCCGCCAGAAGGCACATTAAGAGGCCCTGAACTTAATGCTCTGGCTCCCATGCTGTTAGTTGGCTTCTCATGCCAGTGGACCAACAAACAAAGAAAAGAGTTACTATTTTGCAGGACATTATACGGCTACTAGGTGCTGCTATACCATGGGGGCTGACAGGAATACGTTTGGCATCCAGGCGATCCATTAGGGCATATGCTGGTACTCGCATGCCCAGTTTTCACAGTGAATAGGTAAGTATAGCAGGCAAACTTCCATACAGAATCTTGCCTGGATGTTTCTCTGCAAAGCTCCATGGGAGTAGCTGCTTGGAGACATCTGTCCAGAGGGCCATGATGAATGAATATTTTATAGTCAGTCTCCTGGCATGATGATTCTGCTCATATTAACTAGCTATCTGTCCCCCTAAAAAAACTACTTAGAATACAACTCCTACCAGTTAGTTACCTAGGAGTCAGCACACATAAAAGAGCTCTTGTTGCTACATTAAAAATAAATGAATCAGCTTATATGACATCTCTAATTAATCAGAAAAATTAATAACTGTATGATTTTTCCAGTAAAGACAATAAAGCTGTAACCCACAAACTTCCCAGCACTTGTACTTTCAGCACCCCAAGATAATGCTGTATTACCAGTTGATGTTGGATATTTTCATGGCGTTGCTTAAGCAGTTCTTCTGTCCTCTGCAAGAGACCAAACTCAGCTTTCAACTCAGCTATTATCTGATGCTTCTTTTTGAAAACTGTACTCTTGCTTCGAAGTTTACTGACATATCGTTTGAACTGCAGAAGAACACAATATGTAGTCTAATGAGAAAAGCAGTTGCTAAATATCATACATAAACTCAATGTATCAGCAAAATTTTCTTTTCTAATGCCTAACACATGTGTTCCAAGTACATGACAGTCACAGTTTTTATTAGAAAACATGAAAAGACTAACTGCTCAATTAAAACACTCTGTGTATGTTCTAATTTTTGGATCCATCTAAATACTGTAGATCCATATATAAAAGTTACTCATTTTGAGCTTTATAAATACGAATTAGGAAAACAACCCTCCAAAAGTAAAAAGGCTAAAAAAAAGAAAAAAAGTAGAATAATTCCGGCTGTGGTCTTACCATGATATTTCTTTTGTATTACCCTATTTTGGTGGCATTGGACCTACTGGGGCTACGAAGCCAACGAGAAGAGTTACCTGTAGCCACCACTTATCACTTGAGAAACGTGCTGTGACCATGTCCTCCAAGAAGCATCCTAGACCCTGGGGTAAAACTCATCCCAGGTGTAAAAAAGCTAAGAACATTACAAGTTAGGGGGCACTCACAGTTGTTTAACACAGCTATTTACTTACTAATGGTATTGAATTTACAACTGTTCTACTCCAATGGAACGACCCCATAATTAAGTATGACCAAACAGAGTTTGGAAAAACAAATGAAATAAATATTTAAAGAAACTGATTGGATAAGTGCTATTTATTAACTACTGGGCACTAGGCACTGTGCCCGACAGCGAGACTCCAACTCCATACAGGTCACTCCAGGTCGGGCCTTCACAGAGCCGAAGGTACAGTGGGGAAAACAAACACTACTGAGTTGATGTTTCCCATCAAGGTCAACAGTATGGAGAGTAAAGGGGCCCTGAGCAGAAATGAGAGAGGAGTTAAATCTGGGCTGGGAAGAAGGTAGGAAAGGCAGGATTGGGATTTAGGGGGAAGGGTTTATGGAAATTTTCTCTAAATAATGATATTTAAGCCAAGACTGAAGAAGTGGGGGTGGGTTAGAGGAAGGGGAAAGAGGCAGGGAAGAGCATTCGGGAAACAGCAGGTTTCAAGGTCCAGAGGCCCTTGCTCACAAAGAGTATTGCCTGATATGAGTGGCAAATGCCACAGGCAAATGTGAGAAATTTTTGGCATTTCTGAAACAGAACATAAACCTAAAAAAAAAAAAAAATCAAATTCCTTTTATGTACCATTAGTGCTAAACTTTTCAAATTTTTGTAAAGATTTTATTTATTTATTTTTAGCCCTGGCTGGGTGTAGCTCAGTGGATTGAGCACGGGCCTGTGAAGCAAAGGTTCACCGATTCGGTTCCCAGTCAGGGCACATGCCTGGGTTGCAGGCCAGGTCCCCAGGAGAGGACACATGAGAGGCAACCACACATTGGTGTTTCTTTCCCACTCTTTCTCCTTCCCTTCCACTCTCTCTAAAAATAAATAAATAAAATATTTAAAATATTTTATTTATTTATTTTTAGAGAGAGGCGAAAGGAGGGAGAAAGAGGAGAGAAATATTGGCACAAGAGATGTCAATTGGTTGCCTCTCGCATGCTCCCAACTGGGAACCTGGCCTGCAACCCAGGCATGTGCCCTGACCAGGACTTGAACTGGTGAGCTTTCGGTTCACAGATTAACATTCAATCTACTGAGCCACACTAGCCAGGGCACTTTTCAGATTTTTAAAATTATACAATATACTTTTTTCCTGCTCTACCCTTTTATTAACTACATCATAAAGAAAATATCCACCAAAAAAATACAGATGTAAAATAGTGATCTCTGTCACTAAGAAGGACACCCCTAGCACCTAATTTCATGGTGGCAACTGGAACCTACAGGAATTCAGCGAGTGGCTGTGGTAGGAAATGAAAGGTGGGAAACCAAACAAACAGATCAGTCACTTGTCTAAGGTAGAAATATTAGTGGTGGGGCCACTTCACTCCACTTCTTCTGACCCCACTATTACAGTAGAATATGCCAGGATGTGTTGAGAACAAGGAGGAAGACACTCGGTTTTTTGGATTTAAAGAAAGTGGAACCATTTGACTTGGCCTTTGATGAAAATTGGATGGGAAATCTGACCACCATTAATTGAAGGGAGTTGCAGCAGGACTTAATTTATCGAAATTTTTTATCCAAATACTTCTAACAGGAAAGAAAGGACAACAAGCACCTACTGATGTGTCTGTGATATTACTTAAACTGTATCTACAAGCAAAAAATATCTAAATGGGTAGACTTTTGATCAAGACAGAGCTATAGGTAGACACGCTTCCCCCCATCATTCAACCAAAAAAAAGAATTACAGCTACATCTCAAAAACCTAGAACTGTCAGAAAAATAAAACTGTGGAAGGCTGACAGCCAAGGATTTAAAGAAGCCACATTCATCCAGATTGGTGCCTTTCACAGGGGGTCAAAGCAGCTCTACCTAATACATAGAAAAAAACACGGGGAGGCTGCAAAATTGAGGAAACAAAGAAATATGGCCCAGATGAAAGAACAGAACAGAACCCCAGAAATACAACTGAATGAAACAGAGATAGCCAACCTATCAGACCCAGAGTTCAAAATACTGGTGATCAGGATGCTCAAAGAACTCATTGAGTTCTTTGAAAGTTACAAAGGAAAAAATGAAAGTTACATTAAGTGAAATAAAGAAAAATCTACATAGCCCTGGCTGATGTAGTTCAGTGGACTGAACATCAGCCTGTGAACTGGAAGGCTGCAAGTTCAATTCCAAGTCAGGGCACATGCCTGGATTGCAGGGCTGGGTGCCCAGTTGGTGTGTGTTGATAGGCAACCAATCGATTTCTCTCTCCTACTCTTTCTCCCTCCCTATCCCTCCCTCTAAAAATAAATAAATAAAATCTTTAAAAAAAGAAAAGAAAAAGAAAAATATACAAGAAACCAACAGTGGAGGGAAGGAAGTCAGGATTCAGTCAGTGGTTTGGAATACAAGGATGATATAAAAATTCAACCAGAACAGAAAGAAGAAACAAGACTTCAAAATACAAGGATAATATAAGAAGACTCTGGGACATCTCCAAATGTGCTAACATCTGAATCTGGGGGATGCCAGAAGAAGAGAAAGAGCAAGAAATGGAAAACTTACTTGGAAAAATAATGAAAGAAAACTTCCCTAATTTGCTGAAGAAAATAGACATACAAGTCCAGGTAGCACTGAGAGTCCCAAACAAGTTAGACCCAAAGAAGACCACATCAGGATATATTATAATTAAAATGCAAAAGGTTAGAGATAAAGAAAGAATCTTAAAAGCAACAAAAGAAAAGCAAAGAGTTACCTACAAAGGAGTACCCATAAGTATCTATCAGCTAATTTCTCAAAAGAAACTTTGCAGGCAAGGAGAGACTGGCAAGAAATATTCAAAAAAGATGAAAGGGACAAACAACCTAGATTACCCTATCCAGCAAAGCTGTCATCAGAATGGAAGGGCAGATAAAGTGCTTCCCAGACAAAGAAGGTTAAGGAGCTGATCATTACCAAGCCATTATTACATGAAATGATAAAGGAACTTATTTAAGAAAAAGAAGATGAAAACTATAAAAACTAAAAAGGCAACAAATTCACAACTATACACAACTGAATCTAAAAAAAACCCCAAAACAAAGAACTAAGTGAACAACCAAATCAGGAACAGAATCATAGCATAGAGATCATGGCAAGGGGGAAGGGGGAGAATAAGGGAAAACTTGCAGGGATTAAAAAGCACAATTGGGCCCTAGCTAGTGTGGCTCAGTGGATTGAGTGCCAGCCTTTGAACCCAAACGGTTGCTGGTTTGATTCTTGGTCAGGGCACATGCCTGAGCACAGGCCAGGTCCCCAATTGGGGGCGCATGACAGGCAACTGATCAATGTATATCTGGTACATAGATGTTTCTCTCCCTCTCTTTCTCCCTCCCTTCCCCTCTTCCTAATAATAAAAATAAAATAAAAAAAAACACCATAATTGGTAGGTACAAAATAAACAGGGGATGTTAAGAATAGTATAGGAAATGGGAGACGTGAAAGAACTTATATGCACAACCCATAGACATAAACTGAGCAGGGGACTGCTGGAGGAAAGGGGGTTACCTAGCAGAAGGGAGCAAAGGGGGACATTGGGACAACTGTAATAACATAATCAATAAAAATACTTAAAAAAAAAAAAAGGAAAGGGGACTTCTAGCCAAGATGGAGGCGTAGGCAGACACACTGTGCCCCCTAGCACAACCAAAATTAAGGACAACAAAAAAAACAACCAGAACTGGCATAAAATTGAACTGTATGGAAGTCTGACAACCATGCATGCAGACTGGTAAGAGGGGCTGAGACAGTGGCCAGCACAGAGGGCTCGCAGCAGGAAAAAGTGGTGGCTGGTGGACCCGGGCACACAGGTGGCCCCTGGCAGACCCTGAGTGCACGATGGCAATGGGCAGACCCAGTGAGGGCGCAAGGCTGCTGGCTGACCTCAGATACAAATTTGCGCACAGATAAACCAGACAAAAACAGGCAGCAAGACAGACCATGCAACCCAGGGTCCCAGCGTCAGGAAATAAAGCCTAAAAGCACTGATTAAAAAAACTTGTGGGGGTTGAGATGCTGGGAGAGACTCCCAGCCTCACAGGAGAGTTCATTGGAGAGACCCACAGGGTCCTAGAATGTACACAAGCCCACCCACCTGGGAACCAGCACCAGAAGGGCTCAATTTGCTTGTGGGAGGCAAGAGAAGGGACTGAAATCCGAGACAGCGAAACAAGTGCCATCGTTCCCTTTCTGACCCCGCCCCCACATACAGCGTTATAACTCAGCTACAGGGTTGCGCCAATGCCCTGGTGAACACCTACAGCTCCATCCCTCATAGGTAACAGTCGCGACCAGACCAAAAAAAATGGCTCAAATGGAAGAACAGATCAGAGCCCCAGAGCCAATAAATCTAAGTGACCAAGAGAGAGCCAATCTATCAGGTGCACAGTTCAAAGCACTGGTAATCAGGATGCTCAC